CTACTTTGGAGTCTAAAGGCCTTCATTTGAGTAGAACTAAAACTGAATACATGGAATGTAATTTTAGTAGTACTCGCTCTAGTGACAGCAGTGTGACTTTGGGTGATCAAATTATTAAAAGGTATGAACAATTTAGATATCTTGGGTCTGTTGTTCAAAGCGATGGTGATATAGATGAGGATGTTAATGGTAGAATTCAAGTTGGTTGGTTGAAGTGGAGGAATGCTTCGGGCCTTTTGTGTGATAGAAAAGTACCACTTAGACTGAAAGGAAAATTTTATAAGAGGGTGGTGAGACCTGTAATGCTCTATGGTGTTAAATGTTTGCCTTTGAAAGAGAAGCATGATACTAAGTTAAGTGTTGTCGAGATGAGAATTATTAGGTGGATGAGTGGATTTACACTTATTTACACTTAGAGACAAGATGAGTGGATTTACACTTAGAGACAAAATGCGAAATGAATATATCCGTGATAGGCTTGGTGTTGCTCCTGTGACAGACAAAATTATAGATGGTTTGGTTAGATGGTTTGGTCACATTAAGCGTACCATCTGATGATCCGATTAGGAGAGTTGGTGTTTTAGATTCGGCCTATGTTAAGAAAGGCAGAGGTAGACCTAGGAAGACTTGGGCTTATTGTATAAAAAATGATCTTAATTTATTAGAACCAAATGAAAATACAAATGAAATATTAGAACCAAATGAAAATATGACACTAAATGGGCTCAATGGAGAAAAATGATTCATGTAATCAACCCCACGTAGTGGGATTAGCGCGTTGTTGTTGTCGTTGTTTTTATTTTCTCTATTTCAAGCTATAGCTACTCAGATGCAATATTGGGAATTACAAAAAATTAATACTTAATAGGGGTTGAACTAGCTAGAAAAAGTTAGACTGGTTTAGTCAACGGGGTTCAAGGCCGGCCTAGGGTTGCCTCCCAAGGGGAGGAGTCTCTCCCCTTCTTGTTGTCTATTATATATAGGGTATGTTATGTCATTAGGTTTCAGTTTTGTGAAGATTTCTGTTGTTTTATGTCATTAGGTTTCAGTTTTTGTGAAGATTTTTGTCAAGACAGCTACCGACATCATGTTCTCCCTTCTAGGGTTGTATCTGACGACGAGAAGGTGCTCCGGGTGTAACTCGTCTAGAGGTGGTGTTTATCCTTCCCTTTTATTGCTTGTTGCTGCTGTCGTGACTCCTCCAACTTGATTGTCTACTATCACCAACCCCATCCACTTTTTGCAGATTATCGTACCCCCTCCCTCCTTGTTTCCTATCGCCAAGTCACTCAGCCTTCCTGCAGGCTGCTGCTAAGATTGTTCCTTTCCTCTCCTTACACAGCAGTCCAGCCGCATCTCCCCTTTCCCCTGCCCACAGTAACCCCTTACCAGCCCATCCTCCTTCCTACCTTACTGTAACCCCAAACCCCCCAATAAATATCCATACT